CTGTGTCCCTGCTCCGGCTGCCTGCAAAGGTTCACTTAGAGAGACGCCGTAACCTCATGAACCACACTCCGACAAGGCTTTTATGTCCGCACTTTGTCCAAGCAAAAGCTTTACGAACTGGCAGCGGAAGCTCGGTCAACGACTGCGCGACTCATCAACCAAAGGGGCAACAACTGCCTGCCGGGAGCAAACCCGAATAATCCGTTCCGTTTCAAGTCTCAAAGACCTAGTGCAGTCCCAACATCCGGCCACCATGGTGGCATGAAAGCTCAACCCACTAACCCCAAGTTGCAGCCACCTCAGAGGTTTGGCTTCCAGCACCATCCAACCCAACTGCAGACTGAAACAGGGCCGAAACCTCTGTGAGAAGAAGTCTCAAGTATGGATGGAGCACTTCTCTCTCTCTCTCTCTCTATCTCCCTCTCCCTCCCCATCTACTTCACAGCTGCAAGACCACACCTCCCCCATGACGCCATGGCTGAGAGGGCTACTGGGAATGCTCACAAATGCTCAAAGCATCCTGTCCTGGACAGGACCGCCTGATGTCTTGCTTTCTATTTGCCTTGGCGCTCACCAATGAATTGGTACCTCACCAGTGTGTGCGCTTGTGTTGTTGCAGCCAAATGGTGTTGGTGACAGCTGGCTCGAGTCAGACTCATTTTGCCGGTCACACCACAAAGCGTTTGATCCTCCGCCGTTGTGAGTTCAATCTGCATAGACAGCAGCAGAGCAGGCTCCGGCTGTGTGGGAAATCCAACCTGCAACCAAGCCAACAACAAAGCAAACCGCCAGATCACCTCAGACAACTGGAACTATGCCGCTGTTGCATCCAACTTTGCTTGCAAAGGCCGTTTCTAAGGATCTTTGAAACTCCGAGTGCCAGTGCCCTTCATGGGGCCACGGCTCTTGGATTAAGCTCGCAAGACAACTCTTGCTCAGACTGGTTCTTGCGCCGGATGCGGCACAAGGATAATGCAAGTGCAGCGACCAGAAGCAAGAGCACAAAGCTGGCACCTTGGGTGGAAGAGGGTGATTTCCTTCGCAGGGTTCTTCCTATATCTAACCGAACAGCATCCAGGTCTTTGAAGCGGCGCAAGGCACAACCTCACATGTGTCTAAACCGGAGGATGCTTAACTGCTTTCGCAATAGTTGCTGGATTGCTAAGGCTGGATACCAACGAGTAGCTGGTCATACGTCTCAGCTATTCGCTTGAATGACATTGACCACACGTAGTCACCACCATCACATGTGGCCTGATCATGCCCGAAATGGAACGAAAGAAAGAATGGCTGGCAAGGAGCTGGCAAAGACCTTGGCGGTCGTGGTCCATTCAATAGGCCTCAGACCAAGCGGGTTACAATCTCGTCCCATGCAGCTTGAATGAGGCAAACAGGGCTGGGCCAACCACTCCATGTGCAAATCATCACATTTTCTCTCCCTTGAAAGTTCTCCACGGGTCTGGTTACTGGAACCGATCACCCATGGACAAGACATGCCGGTCTGTGGTTGAAACTCAAAAGCCAGGAAAGCAAGGCTGTCAGCCCCTTGCTGCTGACATGAATAGCGCACTGTTCCCATGCATCCACCATCTGAATCCCGCTAACTGCTCGTGTGGCGCAGCGGGTCAACAACACAACTCAGGAAAATAAAGTTCAAGAAGCTGGCATCACGTGTGACATTAGGAACTCGACTAACAACATTCAAAGTCAAAGTACCGCTACCAATGAAGAAACAGCTTCAAGAACCGTCATGTCAGCAACTGCGGGAAACCACATGAGTCACGTCACTGGCAAGTGGGTCACCATCTGTGCATGTAGCAAACCACAACATTCGAATCCATTCCACTGCACGAACAACATCCTTGTCCTCGCCGTGAACATTCCCCATTTGAGTTGTGCTTGTGAATGGATGACACAACGGACCTCTACACACGAATCAAGGACCACTTGAGGGCGAACCTCTACAAATAGATCGGAAATCCGGAACGTTCCAAGGATCTGGGTGAGTCCCCGTAGTCATGGTAGCTACTGGGAACCTAATGTTTTGCTTTGTTGGGTGTTCCCTTGCGATGAACCCTTTTCGGCTGATGTTCTCAGCGGCCCCATTTGAGCCGTGCTTTTTTGCTTATTTATACACTGGAACCACACACCTACGCGGAGGCTTCGCGTCTTTTTTCTCCCAGGAATTTGGCTACGCGGGGTTACGCAGAACATACTGTTTGATAAGTGGGTACGTGGGGCGCCCTTAAATTTGTTGTACAAAATAACCAATAATTATTATAATTATACCTGAAAGTTCGTTGGTAAACGGGGAGTGGTAGTCGTAGTAGCAATAGAAGTAGGTGTAGTAGTAGTAGTAGTAGTAGTAGTAGTAGTAGTAGTAGTAGTAGTAGTAGTAGTAGTAGTAGTTGTAGCAGCAGCAGCAGCAGCAATGATGGAATGCTGGCGTGCAGGCAGGTGGACTTGAAGAGGCCTTGGAGGCTATGCGTGGGCTACGCTGAGGCTACGTGGAATGAGCAAACTCAAGTCTGGCCAGAGGACATCCAATTCACCCTCTTTCTTTGCCACATGCAAGGTTTCAACCTTCACCTCTAATTCAAAACAGGTCATGCGGACCGTTATCGACAGCTCCCTTGGCCAGTGGCTACGCGGAAGTTACGCTCAAGCCACGCGGCCCGAGTAGGCTACGCGGCCACCATGCCAGGTCCCCTCTCCTTTTGGCTCCATTGAACAAAACACGCTACTCATTCTCAGATACCCAGCGGATTTCCATGGCAAAACAAAGGCTGCATCCTTCTTTGGTTGAGTTTCAAGGAATCGGAACCCTTCCCCAACGAAAAGTTGAAAAACGGGGCGGAACCCACTGGGCGGAGCCTTTGCCGGGCTGCGACGCGGGGCCCGGCCGCGCCGCGAGGCCGCCCCCTTGGGCGGCGGCGAGGCGCAGGAAGTCGGCCAGGCGGTAACCGCCCAGCGCCAGCTGCTGCTCCGCAATGTCCTCGGCCCCACGAGCCCCCACAGGTTTGGGGCTTGGGGATACTTGGAATGGCTCATGAGTCCTGTCAAGTCTAAGAAGTGTAATTAATACTGTGGATGGACGAAATCCTGCACCTCAGAAACCCTGGAATGATGATTCCCCTGTACATATCAACAAACAATGGCTTTCCATGGTGTAATATGCTTGCAAAGCAAAGGGACGCCAACCTAATGGTTCACCCTGGGGTGCTGTCAACTCTTCTGAAGCTAGAGCAACCCTTGTACAAGGCTGAGCTTTTAAGTCAATCCCTGGGCAACAGTCGCCCTTGTGTAGCTTGGATCCCTTTGGTGACTTGCCCGAAGTCCCGGCAGCATGCGCTGCTTATCATTCTACCAACCCAAGCGCTCATCGGAGCACACAAGCATCACAACTTCCAACTACCATATCTGTGCCATTCTGTATCTGTATTGCTTCAGGATCTCAAAGCATACTCTGGGTTGCCCGGAGCAAACGGTGTAACCTTTCGTAGGTTTAGTGGAAAGAGCCATTGGTTTGCGAAGGTCTAAGAGGCCAAGGTCACACCAAAGCCCAGGCATGTACTAAAGCAAACAAACTGCACACTTCTCCCGAATCGACTCGTCGCGTCCTTGGCCCATTTCACATACTCTGCGGGGAGCTCCTGCAACCTGGTGATGCCCTTGTAGACGCCGCCTGGCGATGTATGGCGATGTCAGGTCTGCCTCTCCAGGCTCACAGCCACTTCCGGGCTGCGAGCAGCCAACAAACATAGAACCCTACATGACCCACTCGCCTCGATGTCGGGAGCAACCAGAGGCGTGCTTTGTTGCCCAGGAAAATTAAACATATTCCTCTTGAACTGATTCTCTGTCAGGTTTGCCATTGATGGCTGCGGGCGAGTGCTCAATTGGGTGGTGTGGGGATAGTGGTGAGCATCGGGTAAGCTTGCGTAGCGTCTGTGCCGCAGGAAGAAATCGAGACTTGACCCCTCAAGGCCAGAAGCATGGCAATCAGACAATGGGGTTGTCCTCGCTGGTCCTGAGATGAGGTACTGTGGCAATGTAATTTCGGCGCATGGTCACATTCTGCCAACACATTGCTAGGCATTCCCTTCACTGTCCCACTCGCGCCAAGTCCAATATTGGTAGCCTTTGAATGGAGGCTTCCAGAAATAAAAGCTGCAGCACATTCCACAAAATAACGCATTGGGGTTGTTCGTGCCACGGCGAGCCAAGTCGCAATACTAACCCGAATAGCCCAAATGACATGGACAGCATCTTGCCATCCGCAAGAAGGAGCCCTGCCTTCTATGCCCACCTTGTAGGTGTCGTTCACCCACGCCACGAAGGCGTCGTGACACGCGAAAGATTCCCCATGACCCATTTGCCTGCGGACCGCGCGCCATATTGCTGTGGACAGGCACAGTTTTGGCAAACACTTGCAGCAAGTGTAGTCCAAGATGCGCTTCTTCCCAGCATTTGTCCAGGTGATTGGGATCATAGCGGCCAGCAAAGAACGTCTTCCTCGCATGCAAACAGTTGCTTGAGTCAAGCCTGAGGCAATAAAGACCTTTGGCCCGGCAATACCTCTCTGGCTAGTGCGCACCCAGATTCTCACAGTCGTTCTCAGAAGGGGTTTTGGGGAAGGGATGTAAATCCTCCGAATCTTTAAGAAATACACATGGTCAGTGCGCGCACACACACAGAGACACTAGCTTCTGTCAGCATTGATGGGCTCATGGCCAATTGCTTTTTCAGAGGTGTTTCCAATTAAGAAGTACCGGATCGTTCGACAGGCGCTGACATGCAATGACGCCACACCAAGCTTCAAAGGTCTCACCCAACCTTGATCTTGGTTCAAAGTGCTCAATAGCATGCGCGACAAGCGGCGGGTACTTTGAGATCAAAGAGGACGCGTTGGCGGTCAGTACAGCCCAATCCTGGCAACGACGGCGAAAACGTTTTTGGGAATCCCCCTCAAAAGTCGAGTCACACCTTCTTCAGAAGGCTGTGATTTTGTTTTTCTCTGGATAGCATCTAGTATCAGGAACCACTCCAAAGCCCTTGCCCACAAAATGATGCCCACTCAGCTACTGTACCACACACCCTACTGAAGAAATCATTGTTGTCCCTCCCCATTCCAGGGTCAAGAATGTCTCTGCTTTGTCGAAAGGCTGCGGGCGCTCTAGTCCGGAACTGTCAGCTGTGGTTTGTGAACCAGGCATGATTCGTGTAAGCCAGAGCAGGGGCGCATTTGTTTGTTCTGCAACAGCTTCTACAAACGCGCGGCATCGTCGGTCGCAAGCTTGCCCCTCGCGTGCTGCGTGCAAGAAGAACCCCCCTGGCCTTGTAGTCTGGCGACCAGTTCTCCATGTATTCACAGGCGACTGAGTCCCAGAAAGCATGAAGATTGGTGGTTCCGCAGGAGCTGTTCACGAAGATCCTGCCAAGGCCATCGAAGGGCAAAAACAAGAGAGTGAAAGCACCAGGCGCTGAACTGTGCAAGTTGAATTGGATGCTAGCAGGAGAAATCTTGATAAAGATATGCTGAGAAGAAAAGGCATGCAAGCATCTGATCATCTGCAAGAAACACACGGCGCCACCTCTACGCCTGTCTTGGAACCGCAAGCGCATGTGAGATCAATCCTTGTGCTGAATTCTTGTGAGACATATTGCCGATATCTTCGAGAGACCATGTTGTGCAATGGCCCAATCACAGCAAGTACGGCTTTCGAAGTCACGCTCGAGCACCTTTACTCGTCAAGCATGTCACATTTTTTCTCTGTGCCATTTAGAGACAAAGAAGGCATACGTTACGGCCTTTCCAGTGCACACCAAAACCAGTCATACACACAATCAAATTGATGGCCTGAAGACCTGGGCCCAATTCAAGCTGGTCCAATCGATTGAGCACAACACACTCAACCACACATCGACGTTTTTTCTTTTTGAGGGTAGCCGTAAAACTGGAAACTCAAGTTTGAGGGTCCCCTGTAAGACACCCACATGGCCAGTGTCCCCCTTAGTCTCTGCCTGTTGCCACCGCGGTCGCCCTTCGGCCAGTGCCCCAGCTTTGGATCGTCGAAGTAGCCATCGGCGGTGTGGAGCGGTTGATGAATGTCGCCCACCAGGTGCAGCGCGAAACGAGTCATAAAGTTGAAAGCGAAGCGAGAGTTGGACTTGCCTGAGGTAAACATATGCAGTGCACATGAGGTCTATCTCAAACCATTTGGCAGCATCCCCAAAAGCCACAAGCCAAATGGAGACTCCACATTTTGACCAATCGCCGTACGACAAGTCGAGGACAAAAGCGCAACAACCACAACCCAACAATTGTTTCACCTCTTGTTAGATTTACGCAGCGAGAGGCACTCTCATGTATGAACTGTGCGCCGTGCTGTACGTCGATGTCAACCATGTAAGCAACCCAAGTTGCAGTTGTTTCTACAATATATTGCCCCTCACAAGCTGGTATGTTGCGGGTGATATCATGTTTTTGCCTCCCAAGGAGCTGGCAACATCGCGGCAAACACGCCCGCTGGATTCTGCATTGAACGATCTGCAGGCAACAAACATGATTTAGGGCGAGCTGCCCAAGGAAGAGATCGCTGACGACAGCGTGTAGGAAGCAGAAGGATTATTCATCCAGAGGTCAGTACCCTCTGGGAGCTTCAAGTTCTGCGGGTTGTACGGTCTGCCCTCAGTTCGGCTGGATCCTCAACATCAGAATGGGCATGTTTGGCCCAGACATGCAACTCCATGGCTGTTTTTGGGGTGGGGAGTTAGGAGGGTGATCGCAGGGTCGCAAGCCAAGTATCATCAAAGTGCCACTCGTCGAAGACATGAATGTCATCCATGATCTCCTGCAGGGCTGCATCCATTTCTGCGTCCAAAAGCCACGGCGTTCAAAACCGCCAAATTTCAAAAGACTCCAGCAGTCCCAATGCATCGAAAGCGAAAAATGAAGAACGATCAGGAAAACTGTTTGGCAAGGGGATGGGAATCTTGCGCCCTAAAAGGGCGAACCTTCTGCTAGCCTTGAGTCAAAACTGGAGGCCATGAGGCAGAGAGCAACTGGCAAACAAACGTCATGGGATGACCAACGCAAAGCAAACAAGCACCAAGCGCGAGGACAAAGTGGCACACGAGCCAAACAGGCAGTGACAATCTCCGGCAGCACTGCCAATACGGTGAGCATGAAAAGCAAAGTCCGCAACCTATTGCGGACTTTGGTTGCATGCTCACCGTCTCATTGGAGCAAACTCTATAACTTTATACGTACATGTTCAACGCTTCAACTGAGCAACCCAGCACACACAGTTCCAACAAATCCAATCAAACCCACCCTCAGGTCTCGCGCTGAAAGCTCCCAGGCTGAACCATCAGGAAAGCAGCGCTCTTCTCCCCCATGGTAATTGTTCATGGAAGGAAGAGAACATCAAAAAGCATGTTCATGAAATAATGAAATCATTATTCACTAACAACTCCTATGGTTCAAGCATGTGCAATATCTTCATGAAAGTTGGTTCGTGCAACTTAAACTTACGCCACACCGCTTTGAGTTCAGCGCGGCTTCCAAAGGAGCCGCGTTCTGGTTTTGGTCCCCCGAATGGGACCAAGCCCAACAACCGCCCAGCCCCGGTCTCCCGGGGGCAAATCACGCTCTGGTGGCTGCACTTCAGCATATCGGGCCACACCGCTGAGCTCACCAAGTCCGTGACGCCCGGAAAGTCGCTGGACCAGTCCTGCCGTGGCTCTGGAAGTCTGGAAGGGTGTTTCTCCAGGTCAGGGGCCCTGCAAATCGGCAACCTCCCGTTGGTTGCGTGCTTCCTGAAACCATTTATAAGGGCGACTTCCCAATTTTGAGACGAGGCCAATCAATCCAATGGAGGGCAAATGTAAGTTCTTGAGGCGAGCACACGCCAAAGTAAGGTGAAAGATAAAGTGATGGCATGTGACTACGGGGACAATGTGTGTATCCACAGAATTCCCCTCCACAGTTGCCCAAGTGCGGCAAAGAAACCGTAAGATTGCAGATGCAACATGAGTACAACACCATCTTCTGCTCAAGGAAAACGACAACAACGACCCACCCCTGTGTGTAGACGTTGACAACGTGCGGCAGCGCCCAAGCGAACTGCACACGGAAGTGGGCCCGCTGAAGCTGACCCACCCAAGCAAGGGCACTCAAGCCTCAAACAAGACATCGAGATTGCCCACCAACCACAAAACAATGGGGGGAAGAAACAACCACTCCCAATAGCAATTGCAATCTGTTGATCCTCGGAGCAGATCGCAATACTCACTCCAAACGTGCATGGTTTGGATGGCGACGTCTCGCAAAGGGGCACATTGTTGTAGCAAATATCATACACCATCCGGACCCCAAACAACTCCTGCCTGTGCAATGTATCTGGGCACGGGCTATTGAATATTGGTGTCGGTTTGATTGCTTAGATTTAGCGCAAGCAACCCCGAGTTCGGCTTCAAGCTTTTGATTGCATCGCATCGCTTTGACATGGTATTGTGCATGATTCGTGATAAATATGCATACATTATTTACGTATGTCCCCCCCACAATGTTGTTCCTTTAGCTGGTGCTTCGAATCGAATGCCCCATATGGTGGCATTGCACGTCCCCTCAAGTAGGATCAACCCGCAACCTTCACCGCCTTCCCCTCTTCATTTGAAGCTCATCTCTGTCAGCTCCTGCAAGATGCCGTTGACGGTGTCTATCTCTGTTTGGCTCAGCTGCTGCCTTGCAATCTCCGCCTCAGATGCTTACAGCATTTGCAGCTAGCCCAATGCGTGGAGAACGGGTTCATGGGCTCGCGAGAGAAAGTGGAAGGCAGCAGGGCTGAGCGATCCGGCACAGTGAAAGACCTAAAAGCGGGGAAAACAATGAGTGACAATTAATATGGTGTGCATGATCCTAGTGTCGAACCAGTCAACCCTTTCAGCTCCCATCATCATCTGAGTACAGTCCGCGCAGGAGGTGGCAGTTTGCCACCTGCTCAATCTGTGTTGCTCGTGTGCACATCTGGTAGCCAAGCAGCCGTCAGCATATGGCCATTGTCCCACCAAGCGCAGCACAAGACCGGAGCAAGCGCCAAACGCAGCATTGCTCTCTGCAACGAAGAGATCAAACAGCACAGAACCCGAGCATGCACATCCTCAGTATTGCTGCATATGTGCATCATGATGCGGCATCTGATTGTTGACATGGACTATGGACAGTCACCTCTCAGTGAAGGACGAAGTCCTCTGCCGTCTCTTGAGCAATGGATGCTGCAAAGTTCCACTGCTTGTCGCTTTGAATCCCATTTGCAAAGAGTCAAGCTACTTCTGACAAGGAAATGGCTAGTGGTTCAATCTAAGCTCACGCATTTTCACAAGCGTGCATGTGGAACGCACAGCATGAGTTCTGCTGGCTGCGCAATTGGATCTGTGTTGCAACCTTGCACGGGGAGATCCTGATTGACACTGGATGGGGCCAGCTATAGTATCACAAAGGTTCCATCCATAGTTTCCACGCACACTTCCTTTGTTCATCCAACAAGGCAGGTGTCAAACTTGCCCCCAACTACAACAATTGAGCCGTGCCAAATACTCTTGTGTAAAAAGCGGTCCTATAAACTTGCTTTCGCGGACCCTTTCGCGATGCTTTCGCGACCCCATGTTTTGCTTTCGTGGGCTTTGGGTTCTTTAGAATTGCTTTCGCGACGCTTTTGCGGCGGACCGTCACACAGCACGCAGGCTTTCGCGGGTCTTTCGCGGCGGGACCTTCTTTGGTTACTTTCGCGATAAGCTTTCGCAAGCTTTCGCGGCCTGCGTTTTGGCTTTCGCGGGGATTCTATGGGACACCCCCCTTTACTACTACTTTGTATTGTCAGGGCTTATGGCGCTGCTCAATTGGGTTGCAAGCGGCTCAAGCAAGAAACGCCGGTCGGTCTTCTTGCTCTTTAGTGAAACCTGAAGCAAGTTGCCTGCTTACTCATTTCCATTTTGCAACATGCGTGTTCCGGAGTCCGATGGTTGCCCCGAATGTCGGCCCTCCCAGATCTTGCTTTTGAACCGCCGCGCCGACACGTGCGCCACTGCGCGGCTCAGAATGAAAACTCCCAAATCACTACTTCTGCGTCATCCCCCGCCTGTGGCAGAACAAGCAAGTCTCAGTAAACCACAACAGAACGTTCAAGACCCACCCAGTAGATTTCCCACCGTCTCATGGTTGCATGGCGGGATTTCACTTCTCATCTGCATTCCCAAGAGGGGCCTTTTGCTCGCATGTCGTCTCCGCAATCACACAAAGGCGGGGTGCCCACAAGAGGCCCTGATTCTGCTGAATCTGATTGTTGTGTGGGTCGCTTTGATGTCCAATGTTTGAGGGGTGACTAAAACTCCAAAATTTAAGCCTTAGCCTTTTCCTTTTAAACGGTGGTTCACCCAACCAAGCTCGTACCAGCGCAAGGCAAAGGCCTTAGAGCTAGGAAATCCTTTTTGAAAGCGGTCCCCAAACTATCCAACCCAGAATAACTTGTTTCTTTCGTTTTTATATATATATATATAAGAAAAACAAAGGAACAAACACAAAAAACAAGCCCAAACAGTTGCACAAAGGGGGCTGCCCACGGATCCCAGTGATCCTGTTTCATATGACTGTTTGGGGGTCTTCTTTAATGTCAAGCTTTTTTGGGGTGGGGTCAAATCTGGCAATACTAACTTTAGACTAGGCAACTCTAGAGAAACTACTGGGAATCTGAGAGTAAGTCTTGGTAACTACCGGGAATCTGAACGTAAATCCTGGGAATACTAAATCTAGACCAGGCAATACTAAACTGAGCGCTGGGAATCTGAGAGTAAGTCCTGGGAATACTAAATTTAGACTAGGCAATTTGAAACTAGGCTTTAAACTTAGGAGTGGCAATACTAAAGCAAGATTCAGTCATCCAAGCGCCCTGCCAGACCTTTATTCAGGATCTCAGCACTGTTTTGACTGTTCCTTGGGGGGGGGGCACAGTAAACAAGGTACAACATTCCTCTGCTCAATGATTGGACGCTCACCTGCTATATTTTTTCAACCCTCAGCCCCTTGTTCAGGTACCTTAGCCCGTTTTACATACTTCCCGGCCAGGCCCGCTGAGCACCGCACACTGGCCAGCAAACACTTGCCGGACCTTGGGGCACTTCTGCAGAAAGCACAATTCAGAAACCCCTGGCCACTGATGTCTGATGTAGATGACATATTATGTGGAGCATGCGGCCAATGTCTTCTTGCAATCAAGTCTGGAACCTCCCGATGGAAGGCTCTCGCGCCGTTGGCCAGCCATCAAACTACACAGCTCCTGCAAGGCGGCGCAGGCCCCATCTTGGCCCATCCAGACCAAGTGTAGGCTTCCCTGTTCCGGACCCTCTCAAGGTCAGATCCACTCTTGATCATTGATCCTCCCAAGGCAATCCCCCTTACCCATTGGTTCCTGAAGGTTTGACGCCTTTCCCGGTGGCTTCAACAAGATCTGGGACCTGTCCGACTCCTCCCACCGAACCGAAGGGCGACTAGAAGCACCTCTGGGCGCGCGGCTGCGAGGGCCCCCAGGCAACGCAGTTCACGTCCCCATCATGGGCCACCGCCTGGGGCATCCGAGCGCCCAAAAACATTGACGGCTGCGACACTAATATGTATCTAACCAAAAAAATATATATACAAGTAAGGTCCGGCAGAGCCGGGGGGCGGAAGTTTCAAAGCAGTGAACAACTATAGTTTGGAGAACTGTCCTTGGCCCCTTGCTTCTCTCTCTCTCTCTGTCTTTTTCTCTCTTTCTCTCTTTCTCTCTTTCTCTCTTTCTCTCTTTCTCTTTCTCTTTCTCTTTCTCTTTCTGTTTCTCTGTCTCTTTCTCTCTCTTTCTATCTATCTCTCTAGCTATCTCTATATCTGTTTATTGATCTATCTATCTACCCATCTTTCTCTGCACTTAAAAGTTGCGATGTTCAATCCCCGAAAGTTGACTTCGCGTACTACTTTCGTACTTAAAAGTTGCGATTTTCGAGCCCCAGCTGCGAAACTGGACTTCACGTACTACTTTCGTAGTTAAAAGTTGCGATTTTCGAGCCCCAGCTACGAAAGTGGACTTCGCGTACTACTTTCGTACTAAAAAGTCGCGATTTTCGAGCCCCAGCTGCGAAAGTGGACTTTGCGTACTACTTTCGTACTTAAAAGTTGCGATTTTCAAGCCCCGGCTGCGAAAGTGGACTTTGCGCACTACTTTCGAACTTAAAAGTTGCGATTTTCAAGCCCCGGCTGCGAAAGTGGACTTTGCGCACTACTTTCGTACTTAAAAGTTGCGATTTTCAAGCCCCAGCTGCGAAAGTTGACTTCGCGTACTACTTTCGTACTTAAAAGTTGCGATTTTCGAGCCCCGGCTGCGAAAGTTGACCTTGCAAAAATGCTGCGCCTGCCACCAAATCTGTGCTTGACCTTGCTAAAGTGCTGCGCCTGCCACAAAATCTGTACTTGACCTTGCGAAAGTGCTGCGCGTGCCACGAATTTTGCACTTGACCTTGCGAAAGTGCTGCACCTGCCACAAATTCTGTACTTGACCTTGCGAAAGTGATGCGCCTGCCACGAATTTTGTACTTGACCTTGCGAAAGTGCTGCGCCTGCCACGAATTTGGCACTTGACCTTGCGAAAGTGCTGCGCCTGCCACGAAATCGATACTTGACCTTGCGAAAGTGCTGCGCCTGCCACGAAATCTATACTTGACCTTGCGAAAGTGCTGCGCCTGCCACGCAATCTATTTCTCTAGCTATCTCTATATCTGTTTATTGATCTATCTATCAGTCCATCTTTCTCTGCACTTAAAAGTTGCGATGTTCAATCCCCGAAAGTTGACTTCGCGTACTACTTTCGTACTTAAAAGTTACGATTTTCAAGCCCCGGCTGCGAAAGTGGACTTTGCGCACTACTTTCGTACTTAAAAGTTGCGATTTTCAAGCCCCAGCTGCGAAAGTTGACTTCGCGTACTACTTTCGTACTTAAAAGTTGCGATTTTCGAGCCCCGGCTGCGAAAGTTGACCTTGCAAAAATGCTGCGCCTGCCACCAAATGTGTGCTTGACCTTGCTAAAGTGCTGCGCCTGCCACAAAATCTGTACTTGACCTTGCGAAAGTGCTGCGCGTGCCACGAATTTTGCACTTGACCTTGCGAAAGTGCTGCACCTGCCACAAATTCTGTACTTGACCTTGCGAAAGTGATGCGCCTGCCACGAATTTTGTACTTGACCTTGCGAAAGTGCTGCGCCTGCCACGAATTTGGCACTTGACCTTGCGAAAGTGCTGCGCCTGCCACGAAATCGATACTTGACCTTGCGAAAGTGCTGCGCCTGCCACGAAATCTATACTTGACCTTGCGAAAGTGCTGCGCCTGCCACGCAATTCAAACCTTGCGAAACCTTCGCGCGGCCGTGCCAATGTCCCGTCGTCCGAGACCGTTCCGAGACCGTTCCGAGACCGTTCCGAGACCGTTCCGGGACCGTTCCGAGACCGCCTCCGTACAGGCGTCGCGACCGAGGTGGTTTGCGCACTGTCCGGAAGCCCAATTCACGCATGGCACCAACGTTTCTGCAACTTGCTATCCCCCAGCTCGCAGAAAGTGGACGCAGCACCTTGCGAAAGTGCTGCGCCTGCCACGAAATCTGTACTCGACCTCGCGAAAGTGCTGCGCCTGCCACGAAATCTATACTTGACCTTGCGAAAGTGCTGCACCTGCCACGCAATTCAAACCTAGCGAAACCTTCGCGCGGCCGTGCCAATGGTCCCGTCTCCGAGACCGTTCCGAGACCGTTCCGAGACCGTTCCGGGACCGTTCCGAGACCGCCTCCGTACAGGCGTCGCGACCGAGGTGGTTTGCGCACTGTCCGGAAGCCCAATTCACGCATGGCACCAACGTTTCTGCAACTTGCTATCCCCCAGCTCGCAGAAAGTGGACGCAGCACCTTGCGAAAGTGCTGCGCCTGCCACGAAATCTGTACTCGACCTCGCGAAAGTGCTGCGCCTGCCACGAAATCTATACTTGACCTTGCGAAAGTGCTGCACCTGCCACGCAATTCAAACCTAGCGAAACCTTCGCGCGGCCGTGCCAATGGTCCCGTCTCCGAGACCG